AGAGCAGAGAGCACAGCAGTTTTTGCATGAAGAGTCCACCCATTTTGTGTTTACTACAGTGGATACTTGCTTCATTTTATGAGAGAGTGGAGGTGTCTTTTTTTTTTTTTTTTTTTTTTAATTAGGATATATACTGCTCTCAAGTGGGACCACCCAAATCTATTTTGTAGAATTTGAATTCGTATATTAACGACTCTCTGGTGTGTCTAGATAAAGAACACTGAGGCGTGCTAGAAACAACAGCTTGTTATGACCAAGAGCACTTGTTCTTAGATTAAAAAGAATTCCACTGTGGTTTTGCAATTTAATTTTATTTTTTATATCAGCAGCTATTGTCTGATGAATACTACAGACCAGATTCACCAATAAGGTCAGATTATTAAATTCCTGAGAACAGCAATCAGTTCATTTGTATATTCTATGCGTCTCTACAAGAACGTGTAGAAGGGTAACAAGCAAGAACTTTTTTTTACCAAATGAGTGTCTCTGTTCTGTAACAAGAGCCTCTGTTCATCCTTGGCCAAAAAAAAGAATTTTATACAAAAGCTTTTCCTTTAATAAATGAATCCAGCTCTGGGTTGGATTTACTCAAATACAGTACTAATGCAGGATGAAGAGCTGATGAAAGACTACTGGCAAACACCATGGTCATCCACAAAAAGTTTTCTGCTGCATGTGTAGATGCAAGACTGCCTGCCATCATGTCTGTGAGTTTTGGGAAAAGAGGGAAGCTTGGCCAGGTGTTTGTTCATGCCTTGACAGAGGTCAAATTTCTGGAAGAAAAATATGTAATTATAGAGGTTATCTGCTAGACTGTTGTCCAACTGGCTCCTGAATTTTTGCTGTGATCAGATGTTTTACACAGAGCAAGTTTAGAACCCCAGTATACTGTGTCATCTTCAAAGGATGTCTTCTAAACTCATGTCAAGAGCTTGGTGCCACCTTGATAGCAAAAATCAGATTTATTATTTGCTTCATTACTTTTATACCAGATACCACTTTGATAGCTGCTTCAGAGAAACACTAAAAGAGATTAGAAATGATACAGAAATAACATCAATAAGCATCACAGAGCTCTGCTGCAGATGATATGGGATTAAATACAAAACCTCCCAAAGAGCTGCAAATGAAAACAAAGTATGTGCTGATTTATGTTGCGTTCTGAAGATCAATGATACTGGGATCTGGCAAAAGGCATAGGACAGCAAATTCCATAGGAGACACCTGCCTATAAGTCATGTTGCCAGTGCTGCAGAACTCAACAAAGGAATTTGACAGTGAAGCACATCCTACTGGTCTTCCATTGTTTAATTAGCCTCTGAGAGGCAAGCAAAGAAAAAATTTGTTTAAGCTTATGTTGGTGAAAAATATCTGGTCAAATGGTCAGTCCAGCAGAAAATATTTATACATGTAGCTTTCAAAGTTATGTCAAATCCACAGTATGTAGGTGGGCTCTCCAGGAGCTCCAGCTGCAAAAATCCCCCAGACCTCAGCCTGGATATCTATCATGGAGTCAGTATCTTAGGAGTAAGGATTGTCCATTAGGTACAATTTGTGCCACTTAAGATTAACACCTGAATGTGTGCAGTGAGAAATAATTATTTTATTTCAGTTACAAATGAAGGCAAGGGGTGATTCACCTCTTATCCTGGTCCCTGTCTTCATGTGATGAAATTCCCTCTTTTATTGGCCACAGTTCTTGTTGGTCTCAGCAAGAGAGGCCAAGGATAGGTGAAGTTTGAATTACTTCTTCAAATCCCTTTTGGAATGAGGCCTGTGTAACTTTGTATAAGTGTGTTGGAAAGAGAAGCTGGAGGAAGTTAGTGTTGCTCATGTATGTTGTCCTTGGTCTGTTACTAGACAACAAATCTGATTTTTGTCCATTGTGTGTATGACACTGGCTGTAGCCATGATGTGTTTGGAGAGGTTGCCTTGCCAGTCTGCAAGAAACTACTAGTTGGGGAGGCTACCAGTAGTAAATCAATACTAAATGCTAATAGTTAATCTTTTGTCAAAGTAATTTGGTCACAAGGAACAGGAGAAAGTAACAAAAATTTAATTTTCTTGTACTTCATTGGCTACATTCACAGTAAGGTCTCTGCCTGCACCCTTATGTTTTGCCAGAAAATTGATAAAGCAAACAAACAAACATAAAATAGCTTAATGCTTCATTTGCATGTTTGCAATATTTTTACCTGATAATTAGAAGTGAAGACCTGCAGACACAGGAACATGATCTTTCCATCACTGAAACTGAACTGTGGGTGTGCTGTTGGCAATCTGCTCAGTTTTGTGTTTAGGTTAAATTTGGAAACATCTGTACATCTGGGGTCTATTTTTATAAATACTAAAGCACAGAAGTAAATGTACAGGCATTTTTCTAGTACCAGAAACATTCAATATATCTAAAAAAAAAAAAAGGAATATTTAAATGGTAAATATTTTTTAGCAATACTTTGGGCTAGTAAGGTTCAAAAGCCTCCGAGGAAATATTGCAATTGGTGGTATGTATTTAAAAATAACTATCTATATTAAGCAGTGGAATGTAAATTACTCCAAGAATCAGTCAATGGAAAATAGAAAATAAGGGTAAGATTGCTTAACAATATTTCTCCAATTTCAGTGATGGAAGGACTGATGACAGCTTGTTTTAACCTCATTGAAGAGCTGTCTGTCTGACAAGAGAGCACTCTAAGTAAGAGTTATGCTGGAAGCAGCATATGGAGAATATTCCCAGCTCACTAGTTATTTCTTATTGCATTCATTCATTGTTCTTTTAAAGTAATGCAATTGATTTTTCCTCAAATTTGAAGGACTTCAAAATATTGAAATAAAAAGGAATGAGATTAATAAAAAGTAATCCTTTGAAAGAAAAAATCTGGAACACATATGAGGCAGCATGTAACACAAACATACTGTGTGAGGAAACCTTTTAAATGCAGGCATCATTAGGGATAACACTAACACAGTTAGCAGTCTGCTAAAGCGTCCCTTTCCACAGCAAATCCAGAGTGCACATGTGCAGATGGAGATGGAACATCACCCTGCAAGAGAGGCCAACAGGTGGGCTCATAGTCTCCAAGTCCTTATAATTATGGGCTTTAAAACATTTTATTGTTGGCTGTTCGCTTGAGATCAGCTGAGCTTCAAAACAAGCCAAATTCATCCTATTTTCCTGCTAACTGTAGTATCCCTTGGTATGTCTAAGAATCTTTGCCTGACCCACAGGAATGACGCAACTGAGAACTTGGGTATATGAGAGCCTTATGACAAGTTCAGGCTGTATCCGGATGTGAGAACATGCTTGCCTGTTAGGCAAGTTGGCAACTGGGAATGGGCTCAGACTCCCACTCCATCAGTAATTTAGACCATAGGTTGTCAGCCTGCGGCTCATGAATGATTTTGGACTTAGAGCTGATAGAAGGCCATCAAAAAAAGAAACCTGTTGCTGCTAAGCTTGTATTTGCTCCACAAAGGTCTGGTCAATTCTGCAACATTTACAGGGGTGTAAATTGTTTTTTTTTTTTTTGTAAATTATATTTTAAAAAAAAAGAGGGAGAGAAAGAAAGAAAGGAAGGAAGGAAGAAGGAGAAAGGAAAGGAAAGGAAAGGACTTGGTATAAGCAAGCCCTACATGTCAGTGGAGACTGTTTTTTAAATGGTTGTGTCAGTCACAGGAAGACATTTGAACTACATGCAGGGAGTAGTGAGAACAACGATTTAGGCAACTGCAAGGAAAATTCTTTATGTGAATCACATTTAATTCAATGGGAACAAGTTGAGGCCCCAAACTAGAGAAGATTAAAGAAACATTTCTAATACATCTTCTATGGAAAAACATATAATTATCTATTAATTAGAGAACTATGAAGACTTTTGGAAAGGATAGTTTTAAATTAACAAAAACCTTAATTGCACCAAAACTAATCAACTGTAAGCTAAGAACAAGTTGTTCTTGTGAAACGGCCAACAATAGATATGTGACGCAGTCTGGTTTTGGACTGACCACAGCAGTATTTTTTTTTTCAGATGGAAATAGATTATTGCTTTTTTACAGTACATATTTTTGGTAGCAATATTGGGAGGTTTATGAGGGATCATTTTGATCCTAATTAAAACAATCCTATTATCCTTGATGTGCACTTTTGCCAGTTGTGATGTACATGTATGTTTCATTTTCTGATTCATCTGCTTCTGAATACAAGACATTAAATTAGACCCCACAGGATTTATTTATAGATGTGTTTGCCAAAATGGAAAATAATGTGTTCTGCACAGGTTTGAAGTGTGTTATGTCATTTAAACTTTTACACGCTGCATAATAAACAGTGCATATTCCAGGGAGGATTTTTTTTCAGAGATATTAACAGCAGCAAAGGGAAAATTAGGGCAAGAAACTTTTTAAGTCTTTATACAAGATGTATTTTGAAGATATAAATCTACTCAAAATGTGAAGAGCTTTTGTTTTATTCATAAGGGGTGCTATTTATTTATTTATTTATTTATTGAGTTGGCCTCTATAAGGGGTAAATATATATACACACACACAATCAAATTAAAATTCTCTGTAGTCTGTATTCAGAAACTCCTTATGAAACTTGTGAAGACTTCTGTTTGCATAGCACTGACTGACTAACTTTTTATGAATCTTTTGCACACGATTTACAAACTGAATCAATTTGCAGTTGATATTTATAAGCAAACAACATTTTTGTATGTTAAAGATGAAGGAAAAAGGACTATAAAATCTGTGGCCTAAATTATAAAATTGGAAAGGTAGTGGTGGATTTTTATGTTTGTAGATATGAAGAATTTTTTTCTTACTTGTAAAATGAAGTCCCATTACATAATTTCTCAGTAGTCAAGGATTCAACAAATTGTCAGTGTAAAATTCACTTTAAAATATATCTGTCAAAGAACAAAGAATACAGGGAAGATACAGACTGATTACAGGAGGAAATGAAAAATATTTGTCTAGATCAAAATGCCATAACCTTGCAGTTTCCACAGGCAAAGTTTATTATAAAATGTAAATCATCAAAGAATATGTAAATAGAAAGGATTTTAAATAAAAAAATCAAACAGATACAATTTCACAGTTTTTCTCATGTTGTTTCAGAGTGCTGTTTTTTTTTTTTCTTTTTTACTTTTTTCTTTTTTTATGCTGGATGAATGAATACAGTTCTAATATTTCTGCATTCTGTTATGCAATCTGCCCATGGACATGTTGAACTTAACTCAGAGCATATGGGGAAGGATAGGAATATGACAAATGTGAATTGATGCTGTCTTTTCATCCTCCCTCCCTAGGAATTTAATTATTAATGGATGCAGAATTCAATGCCGTCACACCATAAAAAGCAGGACATAATTTTTCTTCCCACAACAAATTATTTCTTTGAAGTACAGTCATTTGGTATTTAAGGATTTCATTTTCAGTTAAACTGAATGTAAAAGTCCAGGCAACTTCCATTGCATGGGCGTCTTCTGGATACTACTTATATAACAGGATTTACTGTAGACAATAACAAAATAAACAAAAACAAAAAAGAGCTTACTGCATACTCACAATTATTAATTATATTTATCGCAATTGTATTTCCGCAAAATACTTTCTGATTCTAGAAATGTTTCTATCACAATTAGATTACTTAGATTAGATTAATTAATCTAATTAAATCTAATTAGATTAAATCTAATTATTAGATTATAATACTCTGTCACTCTAACTAGCATTACCTACATGAAGGTGGCAAGATATACACCTCCCTTGCAGTCTCTGGAGACCTGGGATGCTGAGTAGGGGGAGTGGGTCAGTGTTTGAGTGTTCATGAGTTATAATTTTCCAGAACTTCTAGTGCAATCCCTGGGAATTCTGCTAGAAAGCAGATCCAAAAGAAAATCCATAAGTAACTGTTGCAAATTTGTGAAACCAGCCATTTGGCAGATTACGAGAAAAGAAGTAGGAGAAGCAAAATCTACAAGCCCTGCTTCCCAGGGCTGGTTTTCTAAATGTTAATCTACACTGCACACAACTATAACATTTTTTTCATGCACAGATTCTAAAGCCAAGTTAGAATAAAGGCATTTGTAGTTGACAGCCGACAACAGGTCACTTTGCTAGTACAGTTTTTTAAATTTAAGTAAGCTGGAAATGAGTGTTTGGAAATTGCATTGTAAGTGTGAAGTACAAGTTAGCTAAGTTGGCAGTGTTACCTCATTAATAATATAAAGAAATAAGCAAATTCCATCACAAGACAAAATACCTAGCTTTTCATCAGAGACCAATATCAGCCAGCAATTAGGTCACTGGGTATTTAGTAAAATCAAACTGCAGTGTAATTATTTAAATTTGTTGCAGCCTTACAAGGTTCCAGAACAGTCTTCTATTTATTTGTAAAAAGAAATTGTGCAGAGTGTAAAGGAAAAAGGGGTATGTGTGATTGACAGTTTTAAAATGTGCAGACCCAGTCTCTTCCAAAAATGACCAGTCCTGCTTGTTCTGTTTGATCAGATCATGTCCTATCCATTAAAATCTTTGATAGTAGAAAACTTGCACAGAGAAAATTGGTATAGTGAGAGATGCTTTTTCCATTAGATCTAGCATTATACACTTACACTGTCTGCTCTCCAGAAGCCATGATTTCACCATCTGGAAAGATGAAATCTTTGTAAAGGAATGTGCACTATTTTACTTCCTTAAAGTTATATTAAGTCTCATCTTGGGGAAAACAAAGATTCAAAATCATCACAACAAGAACTATATACAAGGTCTACAGAGATGAAAAAGATAGAAGATTGTAGAAATACAAACAATAATTAAAGCTGGTCTACCCTGTTTCACAGCTGTAGTTAAAAATCTTAAGGTGGTGTCCCCTCCTCTCCCCTCTCCCCCCTTTTTTTTAAAGATTAATCATAGAATCACAGGATGGTTTGGGTTGGAAGACCAATGGTTTAAAGACCATTTAGCCCAACCCCACTGCCATGGGCAGGAATATCTTGCACTAGATCAGGTAAACTAGTGAATCTGATCTAGTGAAAGAGGTCTCTCAAACACTGAGCACAAGAAACGGAAAAACATAAAAACATGTAGGATATTTAGGTTTAATTCCTGATTCTCCTGCAAATATACTGCAGAAGGTGGCTCAAATTCATGCTAAATGTGCTTGGGAGTGCCTTTCAGTAGTGGAGTAATGCAAGACTATTGGAGAGGTTTGTTTGACAAGAAAATGTGAACCCCTGACGTTCTCTTTTCTGGCTTTGTCAGATTCAGTTTATTACTGTTTTGTCTTCATTGCTATTTGGAGATGAACATTGATGATTTGGTGGTCTCTTTTATTTTATTTTGTTTTATTTATTTTATTATTTTATTTTATTTTATTTTATTTTATTTTATTTTATTCATTTTTGTGTGGACTGTTAGTTTAGATGTTAATATAATGACTAGAAACTGATTCCAGCTGAATATGAGAGGGAATTTCTTTACACTGAGGGTGACAAAGCACTGGAACAGGTTGGCCAGAGAGGTTGTGGAGTCTCCTTCTCAGGAGATATTCAAAACCGACCAGGTTGCCAACCTCAGCCATTCTGTGATTCTGTGAAACAGCATAGGACTGTGCATAAGTTAGTAGGTCCATCAGCTCCTATAAAGTATGTTGTGTTACACTATTGTTACCTTAGGTAACAGTGTTTGTAATTTAATAAGAATTATATGATTATTTCTAAATCTGATTTCATGGTTAAAGTCCAGTGTGAATAATTATAGTATGGAAATATTCTCTATTTGTTCAGGGAAGCCTGACAGTGCAGAGGAAATCAATTCAGTCATGTCTTGTGATAGTCGTGATGCATGAGCAGGTAGAGAACAGCAGAAATTCTTCTCCATCTCTATGGCATAGAATTAAAGACTCTAATGCTGAACCCATGCCTTACATAGGGTCCAGGAATTAACTTGGAAGATGTACGGAACTGGTATACTAGATAATTTTTAAAACCCAAGCTGCCCAGTTTCTTCCTGACTTCTAATGTTTAAATTAAGCTTTGGATTTTGAAGACTGATAGTTTTTTAAATGCTATTTTAGTTATGGGTAGTGTATGTTATTCTCATTTGTACAGAAATACAGTATTCAGCAGTGCTTTATAAACTGGTAATTGACAACAAAGGTGCTGTTCTAGACAGTCAGGTTTTCTCTCTAGAAAGATGTGAAGTTTTCTCTCTGGGTAGATCCAGGAACTTTTGTTTCCACAAGATGCAATCAATCCCCATTTTCAAAATCCACGGCCTGTTCTTCAAATCTGGGAGACATTTCTTCAAAATTTGGCAGCTGAAGGGAATAATATCCCCTAGAGATCCATTATAGCCTTCATGTGGAATCGTAGTCAGGATACCAGATTGAGTTGAAAGTCATGTTGAGACAAGAGGGTAAAGTTTTAGTGGCCTTGCCTCATGTATGTTTCACTTAGTTTCCATATAATCCCATATTTTTTGTAAATTCTCTGTCAGATGAAATATTTAATATATGACTCAGAAAAAAATGTTTGAGAAGAGTTTCAGCCCATAACAGTAGCTCTCATTGGGTTGAGCCTCTTAAATATCTTGTATTCTGTGTCTTTTTTGAATGTATTTCTAATTATTATTACATTCCTTGCAGTTCTAGGGTATGTTGTAAGCATAGATCATGATACTCTACAACAATGGCTCTGCATTTCTCAATGTACACGAAAATACATCATGATTTCATAAGAGGTTACACGTTGGTCCTGTTTATTATTATTTAGTTTGAATAATTCATCTTTTTCAACTGAAAATGGTTGTGGTGATATATATTTCTGAATGTACAGCAAATCCTGTAAGGAGATTTATTTAAAGAGGAGCTGTTTCTCAGCTTTATTGATTCATTAATGAATTACATAACATATTAAGATATTTTGAAGCCTGTAAACATCCTCATACAACACCAAACACCTGTCACACAATGCATATAAATTACTACACTGATTACACTGATTTTCTAAACTTAACCTATAACAGAACTTCAGCATACAAACACTTCTGCAGTTGAACAATGAGATATTTAATGTTTCCATGTCACCTTGCTGAATCCTGATGATGAAACAAGTTGTTACATGAATGGCAGACTAATAATTTGTGTGACATCTATTTGAATTCCTTGATTTCAATGAAAAGGTCTCTAATAATTGTGGTGGTTTTACCGTGCTAGACAGCTAAACACCACAGCTGCTCTCTATCCATTAGCCTACCTCTGTGAAGCTTGTAGAAATGCAATGTCTTTACGATGTCTTTATCTTCCATCAATTTTGGTTGAAGTTAGAGAATTTATTAGGACAGACCGATGACATAAGTCTTGTCTCTTCAGAAAATTGGGCTAAAAAATCTTTAGTGAGCCATTGCAAGATAGTGGATAAGCAGTATTGTATAAACAGTGTGTTTTGTTCTTCTTTAGCTAATATCAGCGTTGGCACATTATAGTATTAAAAATACTAGATTCAGACACATGGAATCAGATTATTGAAGTGTTTTTCCACTCTGGAAGTGATCTTTTTGCTGAAGTACATTTAAAATTCATGTTACCTCTTGTCTTTGTTGTCCAGATGCCAATTTGCCACTAATTAAAATTACTTGAGCAGCAACATTTAGTTTTGTTTTGCGCTGTGAACTAGAGATGCTGAAATTATGACAGTCTAACTTCCAAAATTTCAAGAAAAAGATAATAGGTTGGCTAAAGTTCTTCCTTGAATCTTCTATTAAATTTCAGAAGTTTGATGGTTTAGTTGAATAAGCAGCAATAAGGCAGATTACATACAAGGTTGAACATGCATTCTTTCATTAAGAGAAGAAAGGCTGAGAAAGACTAAGAACTGCTGAGGAGCTGACATGTCCTGACATTTGCACTAAATGCATGAGTTTTTACGGAAAAGTACTGGTGCCTTAGCCTATACATTATATGAGAAGAATAATAATATAGAAATAAGATTAGTAAACAACTATTTCTGGACATATTTCGGTAAGCAATATTAGTAAAATATGAATTCTGTTGCTTAGACTTAGTACAGAATAAACATTAAATTGTGAGTTTTTCATAGATCTGTAATTTAAAGTAAGTCTGAATATGACACAAAATAATTTTAGAAAAATCTTCAAGGAAATATCCATAAATCCAAATAAAAAATTTGAACCTTAAAGAATGGTTTTCTTAGGACTGACTGCTCTACAAGTCTGATACATAAAAATTTTAGCCTGCTAGAAAATTTCATAATGGCCTTTTCTCATGGTATTTCAGTAAAAGTTGGACATGCTGAAAGACTTTTTAAGTTTATCAAACTTATTTAACACTGAAAAAAATGTTAGGACATTATTTTATCTGAACCAGTTATCCATTCATCTCACCTTTAGACAAAGTGAGCATAATAACTTGACCCTAGAGTCACAGCTGATCTGAAGTGATATAATCCTGCTGTTTTCCTACACCTCCAACTCTGAAACTGTAGAGTTAAGGCAGTTTCTCATAACACCTCAACTATATTCATTGCCTAGGGGTTTTAGTGCTCTATTTGCAGACATTTAAAACAGTTTGAATCTGAATTTTTATTAATGGAGAGTCATTGTTTTAAATGAGTCATACATTGAAACTATCCACTAGGAGTCCAAAGATTAATTAAAAAGAATATGCCAAATCAGTGGCAGAAAAATACCACAATGATGAACAATTATTACAGCATTAGAACCTTTTCTGGCAGAAGATACATTCCTTGGATTTTCATGTCAATGCCTAATGCAGCCAGAGCAGCCACATTTAACTATTGGCAATTTAATCTCAAATTGCAGGAGGCTTGCCAGATGGAATTTTTAAATCTTCAGGATTCAGAGAATCCTGAAGTGCATTTAAATTAAACCTATTGGAACCTTTTATCAAAATTTTAATTGTAGAAAATTCAGGAAAAGCAAGATCTTTTATTCCCCTTGGGATGGTAAAACTATAATTTTGAAATGAAAATCCTTTAATGAATATTTATCACCATTTCCCCTCCACACAGACCCCAAAATTGCTTTAGCGTTCCTTGGTAACCAAATATTTCCCTTATTTTAAGGGATGGTTATATTTTCATGTCAAAACAACTTCAGGAAGAAAGAACAGTACGTCCTATGAAGTGTCAAACCCAGTTCCAGTCAACAATTCAAATTGTGATGATCTTATATTATGCTTCTAAAAATAGGTGCTTAGTGCAAGTAATTTTCTGTTAGACTATGGAGAGGCACTTCTCAATCATTTTCTACATGCTTCCCACCTCAGTTGTGAGAACTGTCATCGTATTCATCTGGCATATCTGACTGAAGGCTTCCTCCCAAAGCCTAGATCTTAATTCTGGAGCTGTAGACATCAGCCATCAAATATTTCAGCTAAAATAGATTTGTCTTGTTTCAGAAGGATCAAGTTTTGTTTGCATTTAATGGCCTATCTTGCCTTCATGATAAAAGTGATAGTGTTTCTGTCAACATTGGCAAAGGCTATTACAAGCCTTAGAAACAGAAGATGAAAGGTGTAGCTCAAGACCCAACATTTCCTTTGAATAATTTAAATTATTACTATATTTTATTTTGTAGTATTTTGCTGAATGCTGTTAAATAGGCATCTATGTATATTCAATTCAGACTTTTTTACTAAGTTATTACAAAATATAGAGAGCAACAGTTTTGTGACACATTATAAGTATCGGAATTGGTCACCAAATAATGACTTCTCACCCTACCTCATAGGCACCATCATTCCCACTTTTTCTGAGGCTTTTGAGAATAAAGTGCTGCCTTGAAAAAATGCCTGATCTGAAGAGGACACAAAGTTATATTATTTTGTTCTTTGAGATTAACTCAGTCAAGAAGGGGAAAGATACTTAGTTCATGAAGTACCGTAATTGTAAGTTCATGTTTTCAAAAAAAATCTCAAAGTCTGAATTAGACCTTTTACCCTTCTTCCACCTACCCCTGATCTTTCTCGTTACAATGAGTTAACTCCTCTGAAATGGATTGGCGGTCACAGAATTAAGCATAATAGTGGTTAACCACTGCTTTAGTGTGGAAATGTCCAGCTCACAGGTGCCTCAGTAGCAACTACTGTGTCTTCATAACAAATCAAATGTACATGACAATATCCTCATCCATCAAAGTACATAGCAAGATTAGACAAAGAATATCCTTTTTTATAATCTGTATCACTTCTTTGATCTTAATGCCTTCCTATCTTCTATATTCAGTCTTAAAGAAGGAAACTGACAGATACTGTGAGACTGTATGTTTTTGTTTTTTAATAGGTAATTTAAGGGATTTTATGGCTCAGGCAAATGGTAACATGACAAAGATTTCATACGATAGGTGACAATTCAAATCCAGAAGGATTTACTTGTTAAGCTAATGTTTTTAAATGAAAAGTGTTTGAAGCAAACTGAATACTTAGCACATCTACTTTTTTTTTTTTTTTTTTTTTTTTTTTTGTTCTTGTTTTAATTCTCTTAATTTGCAATTTCATTTTTAACCTTTTCTTTGTGGGTAGCAGGAAAGAGTAAAAACATATCTGACAAAATGTGCTTTTCTGCCAACTCTTTTCTAAATTTTTCTCAAAAGCAACGACTTTTTTTTTTTTTTTTCCCCCAAACTTTCTGTGTTTCCTTTGAAAAAGCCTTCATATAGTCTATGAAATGTTTAAAAGAAGATATGACTTTTTGAATATTTTTCGTCTCTCCCTTCCCTTTCCCCTTCTCCATTCTTTCTTTTTCTTAAAGCAGTTATACAGTATGCTTTCAGCTAGCTATTTCATGCTCTAGGAAGTTTTCCAATAGTGTGGAAGTTTCATACCCTCTCTAAAGGAAAGTCCTTATTTTGATAGTTGGTGTATTGCATGTAGAAGATGATAAAATGCAGTTAACGCTGGTGACTGAACTACCACCCTGTCAACAGTCTGTTCAGATCAGTATTAAGACATAATGCCTTGTTGTAAAGTGTGGTGGAAATTCACAATTCCATTGGAAGTGCTAAGGCCAGGTTGGACGGGGCTTTTGAGCAACCTTTTCTGGTGGTGTCCCTGCTCATAGCAGGAAGATTCAAACTGAGTGGTCTTTAAGGTCTGTTCCAACCCAAAACATTCCATGAATCTATCATTCATAGTGATAGAATTGATTCATTGATAGAAATGACTAATTATCTTTGTTTTGAAATGAGCTGCATTCCTTGCCCAAGGAGTTTTCTCAAACTTGGGTACATTTTAATAATTTAAATTATTTAGTAATTAATGCTTTAGTTCACTACACTATCAATCTTATTGCAAATTCCAAAGAGAAGAAAATAGAAAGAGAGGAAGAAAAGTTCAAATGAGAAAATTCCAGTCCCCTTTTCTTTCTGAAAAGTTTACATGGTAGATGGGAAGACAAGTTCTTTTTTGCAATGAACAATGATACTCACTCTCTTATTTTTTTTTTTTCTTTCTTGTAAAGTTATGTTACTGTTTGTATTGCTATATTTTCATAGTAAAATGATGCAGTGGACTTTTTGAGATTACTTAGTGCTTTTTATTTATTTATTTTGGTGGGGTGGGAGAGGGTGGCAAGGACCATGATAACAAAATGGATTTTACTATCAAATTTGATGTTGCAAAATTAAATTAATTAATTCCATGGGTGAAGACAGATAACTAATTAGAAATTCAGGTGGTATCTTTTTCTCTTTCTCTTTCCTCATTCCTCAAGAAAATCACTGTTACACAATCATATTAAAAGTTGAGAAACTCTTCTTTTTTCTCTTTTTGTGTTTACAAATAACTTTAAAATAGCTTTTTCTTTTCTTGAATTGATTCCCTCTGGAAAACTCTCTGCCAGGTAATTTACATGGCTAAAATTTTAAGTCCATTATGAACCAATTGATTGCAACTATTCAACAGTAAGATATGAAGTTATGATCTATTTTTATTAGCTACATTAGCTAATCACACACTTCTGCTTCCTGATGAGAATGGATCCTTGAAATTGGTTTCCAAATAAAATTTCTGATTACAAAATTAAAGCTAACATCCCAACAGTGTTCAGGAAAAAAATCCTAATATCTACTGTGCCTATTCTTTTTTCAATCTTGATAGCTATGGCACCAGCATCTTGAGGAACAAAAGCTGATTTTAAAAGAACAATTCTTTACCTGTGCATTACCAGATTTTAGAGGACATTCTGTGAGTATGTTTAGGGTAAGAGCAGTAAAGCAATAGTACAAGCATAGGAACATGCCACTGGATGTTGTGATGTGGTCGTTTGTTAGGATGTAGTTCTGACAGGAGTCCGGTCTGCTTCTTTACAGTTCCATAATCATCCCTGGAAATCTTATGACTGATAGAAGTGCAGTTATTCTGGGATTGCGCAAGGTGCATGTGGTGAAAGGATGTGGTATGCAAATAAAGAGCTACACATTGAAGAGGAAGTGGAGGATGGATTAGCCATAAGCCAAGGCTTTACTTTTTTTTTTTTTTTTCTTTTTGGTGGGGTGGTTGAGTCTCTGCAGATGCTAATAAAAAGAAAAGAAGTCATAGCACTCAAGAATAGTGTAAGTTCAGCACTTGTGGCCTTCCCAAAGGGAGCAAGAAGAGCAGGGTGCTCTTAGCATGTCACATATCTCAACCTGTCCACGGCTTTGCGGACACATCAGGGCAAAGTGATTGCAGCATTAAGAGGGGTGGATGAGCTGGCTTTTCTTGAGTCAACTTAGGGAAAATGAACAGCAAAAACATGACAGCACAGGCTCTAGTCACCAAAGTAAATTCTCAGTCAAATGTGTATAACGAGTGCTGAGGTACATGCCATTTTGTCATCAGTGGTACTGTTATATACTGTTATATATAGTGGTACTGCTGGATAGAAAAAAAATAGTTCAAAATCAACATAACTGTTGACATAGCCCCATCCAAGTAGAGCTAATTTAGAAGAACATAATGAAATACAATATAAATATAATTGGTTATTTACTTGTTATTCTTTACTCAATAAAAACAATAAAAGCTAGTATTTGGATGAAAGACAACACCAGCAATTCGGAGTCTTTATCAGGATAAATTTAATGCCAAAGACTCTGTAAACTGAAGTTTAAGGAAGCCTAAGCAGATGTATTCTTAGACTAAAATTCCTAATCCTATTCATATAGGACATTTCAAAATGCGTTCAGAATGCTAGACCTTACCATGCTAGCAGAGTCAAATGTTGCCTCTTTGATTCAGTTTGTAACCTTTTAATTCACTTGTATATCTGTGACTAAAAAAAAAATAGGAAAAAAACAAACAAACAAAACAAACAAACAAACAAAAACAAAAAAAAAAACAACTGGCAGAAAAATAATGCATTCATTTTGTCAGGATTTAGTTTTCTCACTTCACCTGTAAGAGAAAAGAAAGTATCTTAGCATCATGCACTATGAATACATTAATGTTTTGATCTCACTTAAGTTAATTTGTGACACAAATTAACTAAAACTGTGTAGGATTTCTTGAAGGATTATACTATGAAACAGATTTTTCCCAAGACGCAGATAAAATCCAGTGCAGCGGAATAGAGAAATCAAACCTGTGATATTTCTGTCAACTGAAAAGCATGAGCTTTACTACTTATTTACACAGTACAAGAATCAGCAGCTTTTCTTTTTGATTAGTTGGTGAAACTGTCTGAAAAATGTCAAGTGACACAAAGCCAACTAACTGAGTCTTGAAATCTGTTGGGCCATGTCATACTGTGATATGTTTATCAAAGAATGTGCAGACTTCACACTCATCCCGTGAGTCATTCCAAGATAACATTGCATGGTACCTCCTTTAAACCACTCAAGAGTTTCCAGTCAGGTAACATGGCATACTACACAGAAGCAAAAACAAAGTAGTAAAATTAACATTCAGCACCTGAAATAATTTTTACTCTGAAAGATAAGACAAAAGCTATACCAAGGCTAGATGACTTATCTAACACTGACAGATGCATTTTGTCATAAATTAAACCTGACCAGATTTTGACACGTTCACATGTTTTGTACCATAGTAATGGACAGAAAGCTTTGACATCAACGGGTGTTATACTGTTTCCACAAAGAACATACAGACACCGGTGATTAAATGTCTCTAGTATCAAGGTCTATTTATCAGTAAGAGCTTTTCTCTGTGTGAAAAAATAGAGCAAGACCTCAGGCCTTCTTCATGTTCTTAAGCAGAGCTGAAATGACAGCCTCTGCTTGTCCCTTGGATAGGTAAAAAATTCATGCTGCTGTAACAGCTTGCCATAGATAACAATCCACAAAAATCATTGGAATGAGAGCTTTTTTTCTCTCTCTTTTTTTTTTTTTTTTTCTCTGTGAAGTGCTTTATTTATTTATTTATTTATTTATTTTCCTAGCTGAAAGACAGATTATTGACATTCCATGTTAAAATCACTATTAGACAGAAGTCACACACTACAATCAGTACTCTGAACTGAGGAAAAGAATGTCAAAATTTCAGAACCTGGCCTGGATACCAGTCTGCAGCCTGTGGACTTATGGGAAGAAAATGCTTAAGTGCCATGGGAGGCTGTTCAGAATCATTTGAAGTCTTTTTAGCCAGAGATGTGTATGTTGTCACATCTTCATCATAAAATAAGAAAGGTAAAATTTTCTGTCAGTTTTATTGGAATCTCTTGTATGGACTGCATTTATTTGTAGGAAAATTGCAAGGCTTTTATTATTGGCAATTATTCTAGTATACAGTCTAGTATACTAGTCTAGTTTTATGAATTATTTGTCCAAAATTTGAAGTTTAAAAACAATTATATATCTGTTACGACTTTAATCAGTGTAAAATTAAGATATATTAATTTTCAATGACCAACACACATTACGTCATACCTAAAAAGAAAAAAATAAATCAGCTTCTGAAACTTCAACAATTCAAACTGAAAACATGTCTAAAATCTGTTTTCTGGGATGTACTTAAAGACTGTCTGGAGCAGATAGCTCTGCAGAGGAAGCACTTCATTTGCAGAGACTGAACTATCAGGTCTCAAAGGCAGTACTTGTCGCTAATGAAACCAAAAGTATGCAAGGATAGTTCTGCATACGAGAGAGATGCAAGAAATGGTGAGAAGTGCAGACTAAATGGTTTCCAGCTACAGATAATAAAAGATACTTCTGCCTACATCTGCCAGAAATAAAAGAAGAAAGTTGCTATTAGACATAAGATGGGCAAATCAGCAGGGAAGACATCATTCCAGCATAGCCTTTAGATATGTCTCACAAATTTCAGTCAGCTCTAATTGTTACTTAAAAGTAGATGTTTTCCAGCTATGAATCTCTCTTCCATTTTGTTTGGATTGATCTTTAGCCAGTTTTCTCCAACTCATGCTCTCATTTTGGGCATGTCTGAAGATCAAAGGCTTTTTCTTTATCAGCTAGAAAGAGATGTTTCTTACCATACCCTGGAAGTCTCAAAGTTATTTCTCAATCTTCCCAACAGTTTTGGGAAATAAAATTAGTTAGTTAATCAATGGAATATCCATTTAGTGAATTTGGTCATTGATAAAGTCCGTGGAGTTTCACATAAAGCAGAAAATTCTGTTCAGCAGAGACTAGGGTGGTGGAATAAGCTCACTGGAGAGGAATCACATATGCTCAAGCAAGTTCTCAGTGAATCATACGTGTATGAATCTTTTCCCAATTAGGCCAGAAAGAAATCTGACACCAGAAACACATCTGAATTTGAGGTTCATAGCTGTACCTCCTCAGCATCCTCATACAAAGAGAAAAAGAGAGGTGATAATTGGCAAAGTTGGCAATTTTTTGGGGATGACTTCTGATGGATGGGCTAGTCAGCTACTCATTTGAAGTTATCTGTCCAATGATCTCTTGCTGACAGGCAGTAAAAATCATGGGTGCCAGGTACTTTTAAAGCAGAGATCGCTCTCTGAATGCCAAGCCTACAAGGCCTGTTATTTTGATGCAGCTTGCCTGGATATAGCAGGCCTGATTTGGAAATTGTTCCCTTTGATAGATGTTGTTTTCCCCTTCGGCTTCCTAGGAAAGTGAAGCGCGTAATAAACATAATAAAGTCACAGCACTCAGAGGTAAGCTTTCAAACCAGTCCAAGAAAAATATTATTTATTATAAAATAATTCTGAACTGAAACCAGAATCATCTTCTTCAACAGATACATAATTGTAACCGATAGCATTTTCTTCTGACTGAACATCATATGAATTTTATATCTTCACACTTATTTCCCATACCTTTTGGGAAGGATAACAAGCCTGTTTTTAATAGTGGATATTTTAAACCCAAAGAAATCAGTAAGATATATATAATGGTCAGTTCTGATTAACTGCATCTGTCATTTCTGGAATGTTTTGGAAACTGAGATACACCCCAGATGTGGCAATGTTTTGTAAAATCTTGGAATGCCAGTGAGCATATCTATCACAGCATTGTTTAAAGTTGGAGACTTCTAAATCCTATCTCTATTTCATGTGCAGTATTTAGGCACTTGATTGTTTGGTATTTTTCTGTGTGGAGTGACAGAGTTAGAATTCAATGTAAACTACAGAGATTGCAAAGGTTGACTCATTATATTTGCTCATTTGTATATACTATGCCCTCATTTGTTTTAAAACTCTCCTGTGCAAGCCAATTGTTTTGCATATTTTCCATACTTCATCCTGCTAATGAATTACAACCCTAAGAATCTCTCAGTTAGTGAATTCTTATTCTTTAGAGGTAATTAAATACCTCACTAAGTGTATAAATATAAAAATAATGAATATCCCCTCAGATCCCTCTCTCAAAATAAACCACATTTTGTAACCATGTCATGGCCATTACATAGGTCAACCTTTAACTCTTAAAAATAGTCTTAAACTTGTATCTGATGGATTGTGAGACAAAAATATAAGATGTCTAATCATTTTGGAGTTTTGCTTATCAGTATAGACTGCTTGTTTTTATTTGTAACTGTGAAAAATGTCTTTCCATTGTACAATTGCAATGCTTACAGTAAGGGTTGCTTACGGCTTTTCACAAGAAAATGAAAGCATTGAAAAGATGTAACTGCTTATCTTCTAGCCAAAGTTGAATTTCTTTTTGTATGCCAAATTTTATTGGACAATTTTCTTGCCTCAGAGTGAACAAATGTATTGAAAGAATCATCAAAGATACTACTTCTGAGCTCATTCACCCATGGCCAAAAGTATACACGTTGTTACTGATGCAGTATTTGCAGAGAATGCATTCTGGAAGGTTCAAGATGGCCTCCAGTTGATTAGGTCAGGCTGTGGCTGAGGAGTATTTCAATCCTCATTTATGGTATTTTCCTACACAGCAGCATTAGTAAAACATTCCATGCTTTTATTTATCTAAGATACTTTCTCATCTGCATCAGCATGATTACTGAGCCTTGATTATTCTGTTACCTGATATACTACATAACAATATGAACAGAGAGGTATAATTTCTCTGAATTCTGAAAGCTGGAAGAAGCTTGAAGACAGACTGGAGATGCTCATAGGGGATCTGATTCAGGAAATCATTTGAGCATTAGCTTTAAGACTGTATGTAGATTGACTTTAATAGAACTCAAGTGTGAGTCATGTTCAGTCTCTGCTTTCTTGCCATAGTCAGTATAGAGCGATGTAAAGCATTTACTTAAAACATATACCAAAGCACTGTGCTGAGGTTGTGGTGTTCAGATTCTCATTCAGACATAGGTGACTTTTTTTTTCTGTGATTTTTTGCTGCTCTGCTGTCCAAATAATTTACATGAACATATCAGAGTTTTGTATAGAAGATTTACATGTTCCATCAGGTAACATATGGTTACCTGATGACAAGCATTCCCTCATCTTATTTCCTGTAAGAAATGTAATATGTTCATTGCATAAGTATCAAACCAGTGATATAAAATGAGCAGGAGTGATATTTAAAATCAATATATGATAGTAACTGGAAATTATAACTTCTAAGTGGTGATGAGAAAGCATGAATTTCTTGCAGGACTTTCAGCACTGGGGAGATTCTTTATAAATACTTCAGTAATTAGGGAAATGATTTCTTTTTATAACTGATTCCACAGATAGAGAAGATGTTGAAAAGTCTTTGGTGCAATTTGGGTGGCAAGAAGCATTCCTCCATCATTAGGATGTGTATGGTACACAGAGGAAATACGAAAATACCTTGTGGAGTATTCTTGCTGTGAATGTGTCTGCTAAAAAGGTGAACAAAAATGTAGCAATGGCATTTCTCCCTAGAACATTCCTTTTGCACTATCCCTGCCCCTCTCATTCACCTTGATGGCTTGGACAGGGGAAAGGATGGGGATTTGTATCCAGGTGTTAGAAACTGGACAGAGGGAATAGTTCATTAGATTGTGTC